GTATGAACCCAAGTACAGAGTTTATGAATTGATTATATTCGTTTGAGGTTTGAATGATTGAATGACTTGAATCCTGATCAAATTCCTGTTGTTTCTGCTTTAACCTAGAAAGAGAATATCTGCCTAGGTTGATAGAGCACCCTTAGTTGAAGGTAGTGAATTGGCGACTTTAGTCGAGGAGCCAATTCATTATTCTGTACCGAATTCAATTCGGTAGTGGAGGTTTGGTTCGTTAGGGCCTCAATCTGTTTACTCCGGTGGAGGTTAGTCGCCCGCTGGAGACTCAGATTGAGAGGGTCTGGAGACCTTTAGTCGAGACTTCAGACTGTTTAAGAACCTTCCGCAGTATAATTATCATAGAAACTGATCTTGGGAAATTGCAATCCGGCTTAACTGCAGTCTAGGGGGAACCATATCCGGGTGACCTTTCTCGACTTGAAACAACCGTTTAACTTGCTTTGTTTGTTTGTTAATTTGGACTTGCACTAAAGTTTCACCGCTAGATAACAAGAATTCACCGAGTAGTCATCAAATCTAGGACCCGGGTTGACATTAAAACCCAAACCCGCTATACTACGCTTTAGGAAGTGGTTACACTTGACCATTTTCTAGAGTGACAGTAGGAGTGAGTCAGAAATCAAGAATGAACAGCACGATTTGGGATAGGAACCATCGTTCCTGTATCCCTAGAAAATGGTGGTAAACACGGACTCACCTGCCAAACTGGTTTGGATTGTGATTTTTATCGCATATCAGGGAACCATGTGATTATAAATTAGACTTGATCAAAACGGGCCAAAACTTGAAATTCAGCCTGTTTGACCGACCCATGCCAAACTCTAATTATTCTTTACTTTTAATCTTTCTATTTGAAAATAAAAAATAATGAACGAAAAGATATGACTGCAATTTGTCATTTTCACATCACTGATTCGGGAATAAAACTATAGAATTTCGAAAGGAAATTGAAAATGTTTAGGATCGTTTTAATGTTAAAAATAACCAAATAGATGTTTCTGTTTAGGTTTTTACTAACAAATACCAAACGATTTCCTATAATATACAGTATAATTTAATCATTATGATATCAAATAATTACATAATATATATTTGAAATGATAAAAATTGGACTAATTGGGTTGACCGAGGTTGAACCATTGAATAACTTTAAAATACATTATATTTTAGCCACTAAAATATAAAATAATAGCATGATATATATTATGCTAGAGAAAATACCTTGTTTTAGAATGGCAAACCCATGATGTTCATTTGTTTTACTTGATGGGCAAATCCCGTGTAGGTCAGGCCCATTCAACTCTTTTATTTTATGATTAGCGGTTAGCCCATTAGAATCCATGCATTAGTTTATCGTTAATTTTTTTTCTTTTCAGCAATAAAAAGGAGTATTTTGTTGCCTTTTCATATATATTTTACCACCACGGAGAAATAAAAGGACTTAAAAAAAATTTGACACTCATGGACCCATTTAAATTCGCATGTGTACGGTAAGTTTGCCCGTTCCACAAAGGAAAAAGAAAAACATTGACACTCCCTATTCTACCCTTCCTACAAACGCTCATGGAACAGGGAATTTGAAATGGGGTAAGGTTTTTTCCTCTCTGCAATTTTATGTTTTTAATTTAAAAAGATACAACAAATGTACTTAGTGTGATTGATTATGATCTTTGCTTTTCTTTAAAGTGGTCATGGTTCGAATCCTAGTAAGGTTCTTTTTAATGAATAAAAAAAGTACTTGCGAAGATCAAAATGTCCTTCCTACTTTCACTCTGAATGCAGGAAATTTGAAATGAGGCTTCAAGTTTTCTCATTTGGCTTTTATTTATTGTGTAGATTAGCCAAATGTTAACTTCCAATTAGCAATTTTGTTAGTCATAATGACTTGGCAACATGATACTGACTTGGAAGAGACACATGAAGGTCAACATTCCAAAATTTTAGTATTTTAACTAAGAAAAGAGTTACAAAATTATTAACAATAATGTAAAAATGGCTAATATTTTGATGCATTACGAAAGATTTGGATAATTAATAGCATTTTCATAGGTTTGGATCATATAAAAGAATTTGAAAAAGGTTTGGATGAAAAATAGACATTACCCTAATTTCAAGGAGTTGTGAGTAGGGATGGCAATCGGTGGGGTTGGGTCGGGTTTTGCCAAACTCAAACCCAAACCCATGGGTTTATCCGTGAAAAAAACCCGGGGTAAAACCCACTGGGTTTGAAAAACTCAAACACAACCCAACCCGCTGGGTATCTGCGGGTTCATGGGTACCCATAGGTTTTTGTCGTAAAAAATTCACAATAACAAATTCCTATCAAAATTAAAGTCAAATATCAATCTCTCAATACAAATTATCCATATATAAAACTCCATTCTAGAAAATTCAAGCAAATCACAAATTAACTATACAAATTGTTTAACACCAATCTAGAAAATTTAAGAAAATTGAAGCAAATCACAAATTATCCATAAATAACATGATTAATTGAAAGCTTCTTCCTTTCAATTAAGTTTTTCACTCTCCACTCGATAACATCAACTTCATTCTACATAACTAGAAAGAAAAAATTAGACATGTCTCCACAAACATAATAAGATTGGTTGTTTAGAATATTAAATATGTCGAGAAAATTAATTATATGGGTGCGGGCGGGTACCCATGGGTCGGGTTTACCTAAACCCAAACCCAACCCAACCTGGTGAATAGTGAGCGGGTTTAAACCCAAACCCGGCCCAAAACCCGTCAACACGGATTTTACCCGCGTTGACCGGGTTGGGTCGGGTGGGTACCCGTGGGTTCGGCTTTTGTTGCCATCCCTAGCTGTGAGCTTCTTGTGGATGATTTTTTAACCTTGTGTTTCAAAATAAATTTCAAGATCAGTAGAATCCAAATCAGGAATGATTGAATTCTTTGAATATGTACACTCAAACGTTTATGTCACATGTAAATAGAGGTTCATTAAAAAACTACGTTTAGTACCAACATTATGATGCAAGGTCAAGACAATCTCAGCAAAAAGAGTATAAAGTGTTAGTTTGTACAAACCATCAATAATGATACCATAACTCAACAAACATTATGTTTGAACTAACTAATAGAACCATTTCCAATGTTCCAAAAATACCCAACTTTGTCAAGTTGAGACACTAAAACAAAATTATGAGAAATTGAAGGAGCATAAAAGTTATTGATAAGGTCTATATGATGATCGTATTTAAAACCAAGGGTTCAAATGGAACTTTCGCTAGTGTCCCATATAGATGAATTTTTCATTTAGGTTTATGTTTTGAGCCTTAAGGAATCCATACATTATTTTGAAAACATGAATGGTAGAACCAGTGTCAACCCACAAAGAATTATAAGGAACCTCATCTAAATTTGATGATTTGAACATACGAAAGCACTAGGCTTACCCTTTCTTTCGAACCATGCCTTTACAGGGATAGGTCGAAGAAGAAGTTTTTCTCGTCACAGAAGAACTACATCCAGAAGATACTGTCGAGGTTTGGCATGTCTTCAGCAAAACCGTTGAATACTCCTAGTGTTTCAAATGTTCATCTATCCTCATCTTATGCGCCGCAGTCAGAGGCTGAGAAGGAGTACATGTCGAGAGTCTCATATGATAGTGCAGTAGGTAGCTTGATGTACGCTATGTTATGCACTAGACCTGATCTTGCACATGTTGTTAGTGTTGTCAACAGGTTCATGATACAAACAACTTGGGAAGGAGCATTGGCATGCTGTGAAGATGATCTTCTGGTACCTTAAGGGTACATTTGATGTGGGGATTAGCTTCGGAAGTGATACAGAGTGCTTGGTGTCTGGGTATTCAGACTCGAACTATGTTGGAGATGTTGACACGAGGAGATCGATGACCGGTTATGTATTCACTCTTGGGAGTTAGTAGTGAGCTGGAAGGCAACTCTGCAGTCGGCGGTGATGTTGTCTACTACTGAGGCAGAGTATATGACGTTGGCAGAAGCTGCTAAGGAGGGAATATGGTTGAAAGGACTTGTTGGTGATCTGGGTCTACATCATGATCAGGCAATGGTGTATTGTGACAGTTTGAGTGCAATATGCTTGGCCAAGGATCAAGTCCACCATGAGAGGACTAAGCACATCGACGTGAGGTATCATTTCTTGAGGACAGAAAAGAAGATTAAGGTGAAGAAGGTTGGCACCGCGGATAATCCTGCTGACATGTTCACGAAGCCGGTTCCACATGGCAAGTTCCAACACTGTTTGGACTTGCTGAATTTCTTGAGTGAGTGACTCCGCCCTACGGGGCATTGATGGCAAGAGAGAGAGAGAGAGAGAGAGAGAGAGAGAGAAGGAGCAGAGTACATTAGAGATTTCTGAGGAAGATGATTCAAGTTAAGGTGGAGATTTGTTGATGTGACTTGAATCGGAGTATCAGCCTCAACAACTGGAAGTCTCGGGGGTCTCACTGTATGGGTCGATACACGTTTGGGTTGTCAATTTTAGGCCTGTTCTGTAACCATTTTCTTTTCAAGATTGGATTAGGTTTAGACCCACATGGAGAAGTATAAATACTTCTCATCTCCTCTGTAATTTAGCTAACACACATTGTGTTGGTGAACCACATAAATCGTTTGTCTGTTTTCGATTCTCGCTTTCGTATTCTTACTTTCTCAATTCCGACAATTTCCCGATCCGTAACAGCGCAGTTAATACTAAAATGTGTTTTCTCCCAAACGTTGGAAAAAGTCCACAACTTCCAAAAAAATAATTCCCTATTTAGGAAAAGTACAAATAAGCATACCCACACTTCACGTGCCTCTCCCTCTTGCTTTTATCTTCCTGCGATGAAATTGTAGTGCAGAAACCGAAAAAAGCTATTTATAGTCAAAACTAATACACTAGAAATTCAATAACTCATCAACACTTTGAACCGTTTAAAGAGTAGCTTCTCTCACTAGCTAGCACCGTTTAGAGTGACGACTTACGTCGCCATGGAGTTCCCCTCTCCAAGTGATAATCTCAACACAATATTCACAGCATTAGCCTTGGCCGTCGTTCTCGCCCTCGCCCTCTACCGTCACTCTCACCGACGTCCACCATTAAAAACCTCCACCACTCCTCCTCCGCCCATGGCGGGAGGCGCATGGCCAGTAATCGGCCACCTGGGCCTCTTCACTAGCCAGAACATCCTCCCCCACGTCGCCCTCGGATCCCAGGCCGACGAACACGGCCCAATCTTCGCCCTCCATCTCGGGGTCCATCGAGCCGTGGTCATCAACTCATGGGAGCTCGCCAAGGAAGTACACACAACCCACGACGTGTTCGTCTCCGAGCGACCGAACCTCACCGCCAGCAAGCTCCTCAGCTACGACATGGTCATGTTCGGGTTCGCCCCCAACGGCCCTTACTGGCGGGAGATGCGGAAGTTCCTCAACCTCGAGCTCCAGTCCCCTCGTTGGATCGAACTGTGGAGGCACGTTCAAGACGCCGAGATGACTTCTTTGGTAAGGCAGGTCACGGACGAAGGACGACATAGTGGAAGCTCTTTCGTTAAGGTTGAGTTGAAGAGGTTGTTTCGGGACATGACGATGAACATGATCCTGAGGATGGTCGTTGGGAAGAGGTTGTTCGGTTGTGGTAGCTCGGTGGAGGAGGAGGAGGCGCGGCGGTGCAGGAAGGCGCTTAAGGAATTTTCACGCTACTTGGGCATGTTTGTGATGAGGGATGTGGTACCGTTTTTGGGTTGGATGGATGTTGGAGGGCATGAGAAGGCTATGAAGGGAGTTGCTAGAGATCTCGATGAGTTTCTTGATCGCTGGTTGGAGGAGCACCGGAGGAAGAGGGCCAGCGGCGGAGGAGGTGGGGGAAGTGATGATCGAGATTTCATGGACGCGATGCTTTCTGTACTCGACGGTGCAAACTTCGCCGCCGGGCATGATCCCGATGTGGTTAACAAGGCGGCTTGTTTGGTAATTAAGATAACTCTCCTTGCATGCCAATACTTGGTAGAAATTTAGGTGATAATTAATAGACTCTTTTCATGATCACGTAGTAGTAAGTCGGGAGAAAAATAGCGTATAAAATTGACAACTACAAATATTATAAAATGGTGTCTTATCATTCCTTATACGAATCACCATAATATGATTATATGATTCATATCAAAGGAGGTAAGATGCGAATTTTGTAAGTTTTGTAATTCTTGGATTTTATAAATACCTACAATAACTAATTAATTAGTCTTTTTTCTTGCATGACAAAATTGGTATTTTAAAAATATTATTTTGACGCATGCCCATAACAGTAGAAGTTATATGTTAGTTATTTTTTATGAATGATCACGTAATAATTAATGAAAAATGATAGTTTGTAAAATGTAAACGCTTACTATCTTACGAATCATGCAACAATAATACGATCATTTCATGAGATGATGTGGTATGATTCATGTCAGATGTGCTAATACGTTAAGTTTTGTAGCCTTTGAATTTTATACGCTAACCCAGACCTTCACAATTTAATTATTAACGTTTTTTTTCTTTCTGCTGCATGACAAAATTGGCAGAATATAATCGCAGCGGGATCTGAAACGACGACGGTCACGCTTACGTGGGCAATTTCCTTACTTCTCAACAACACCCACGTCCTACAAAAAGCCTACGAAGAACTAGACAAATGCGTCGGCAAGCAAAGACCAGTCAACGAATCCGACATCCCCAACCTCACTTATCTCCAAACCATCGTCAAAGAGACACTGCGGTTGTATCCGCCGTCGCCGCTGTCGGGACCGCGCGTGTTCACAGAGGACCGCATGGTACACGGCTACCGAGTCCGGAAGGGCACCCAGCTCATTACCAATATCTGGAAGATCCAGAGGGACTCGCACGTCTGGGCCGACCCGTTGGAGTTTCGGCCGGAGAGATTCTTGGGCCGAAATGAGCAGTTGGACTTCAAGGCCCATCAGAGCTTCGAGTTCATGCCGTTTGGGAGTGGAAGGAGGATATGCCCCGGGATGGCGTTTGGGATGGAGATGGTGAATTTGGTGCTGGCTGGGTTCCTTCATGCGTTTGAGATTCGGAGAAGTGGAGATGAATTGGTTGATATGACGGGGCGCCGTGGGTTGACTACTGTGAAGGCTAGCCGACTTGAAATCCTGGCTTCGCCTCGTCTTCCTCGTGAGGTTTATACATGATGGTGTATATAGATCGTGGAATGGATTTAGATTAGGGTTGTTTTTGGATGTATGTTGTATATTATACAGAAAATACAGGGTTGGTTTAGTTATACTACATAGTGAGTTCAATCTTTAGGGTCAACGACCAACGAAAATAGTCGATCTTTTAGAGGAGTGGTGTTTAAAAATTGTTTCTGGCTGATAAGCTATGTAGAAAACCCCAAAAAATTGCGAATACAAAATATCAATAATGAAAATGAGATTCAGGTTCCAATAAGAAACTGAAATGTTTTAGTATTTGATAATTCGATCTTTAACCTTTTAATGCAGCGTAGGAGAATTAAAGGTTACATTACATATTACATGGAGAAGTTTTTAACTCCAACCTTGGTTGGATCTACAAGCTCCAACCTGCCACTTGGCAGTTCACCATTGATTATTTTATCTTCCTTTCCCTTTATTTAAATGCTTTTGTTATTGTTTTAAAATTAACTAAAAATGGAATAAGAAAAACAATATAAAATATGACGGAGACGGCATGGACGGAAATTAACCACACCCCTGCCTGCCACCCTCGTCTCTGTCATATTTTATATTGTTTTTCTTATTCCAGTTTTGGTTAAATTTAAAATAATAATAAAAGCATTTAAAATAAAGGGAAAGAAAGATAAAATAACCAATAGTGAATTGCCAAGTGGCAGGTTGGAGCCTGTAGCTCCAATCAAGATTGGAAAATTTCTCATATTACAAGGAGGGAAATTGGGATTTTAATAGAACAGCGCTACAACCAAGATTGGAGATAAAAATTTATCATATTACAAGGAGGGAGATTGAGATTTTAATAGAACAACTGGAGTATTTTAAGAGATTGTGCTTTGGCAGGAATTAAGATACTTATAAAACTCCTAGAAATGTTGAAGAAATCATATCTCATTCTTTTTACATTGTATTTCCAAAATTTTTGCCTAGAATAATCGAATCCGCGTTCTAGAAGATGATACTCATTAGGATTTTCTTGGAGTAAACAAGTTTTACTTCATTGTACCACTAGCATAGTATAATAATATCACTATGGTAATATCATGATAGACAATAGTATAATGCAAATATTAACTCTTATCACTATGACAATATCATGATATTAGAGTTGTATAATGGTAGTATGGTGTCTCACTATAATGGTACGTAATTAAGGTCATTGTATGATAGGAGTAAGATTGATGGTAATATGAATTCTCACTATAGTGGTAAGACTAAGATACTACAGTGGTAAGATTGTGACATAATAGTTTAAGATTGTAGTATGAAAGCTTACCGATAACCATGGTAGTAAGATAAAATAAAGACTCAAACACTTCTATCCATTTTCCTTTTTTATCCGATTATGCTCTTGAACATGCAAAAATTACAATTTTAAATAATATATACTTATATCTCAGCGTTTTGCGTATATTGGGAGATATAATTAAGAAGCAGAAGATCCTCAAACATTTTGATTCACGAGTTTAGTCTAGAATCTAGATAGTCCTTTATGGGTACAGTATAACCTCTACAGATTAATATAGTTGGGACCGTGAAAATTATTAATTTATAGTAGTTATTAATTAATAAATAAATTATTAACTCTTAATTGAAAGAGGTTTTTATTATGATGTACGTGCATCGTATCTTCCAAACATTTCAAGTTCATACGATATGATTAATGGTATAGGTTATCGTAACAAGATGGATGTAAGTCATTTGTGGGAGTATCCAGATGAAAATGATGAATGTATCGCGGTACAAACATTAGAAGAAATTGTGGTTGCTGTCATTGGGGGGTCAATTGAGAATGAAGGATATGATGATTCAACACCTTTGAAACCGGTCATGCGAAAGGAAGCACTTAAAGCCGCATCGACTCTTCAAAAATACTTGATGCAATTAGCGAAGACAGCACCGGATACTTTGAGTGCAATGAGAAAAGTTCAAGATGAACTTCTATTAGACTTGAACTTCAAGAGTAAACAAACAACTACATATACATATTTTTCTAGATTGTCCTAGCTATATTATAAATTTCTAGATATATTGTATTTTTATAATTATTAATTTATCGATTATTAATTTAAAGAGATTATACGGTACTTGTTATACAATTTATTTTCAATTTTTTAATTTAGGACTATCTCAAAGAAAAGGAAAAGTAAATTAGAATATTGACGTCACGTTTGGGCTAACATGCAGTGGGTTAATTACAGAGAGCAGCCACATATCCGCCATGGTTTTCAGTTGAGGATGGAAACTTTTTACTTGTGACTTTTCACCATAATCTTTATCTTGTCAATTTTTGTGCTGGGAATTTCCACATCGTGATTCTCTCGCTGGCCAACTTGCATTGCAAAACGAGACGCTGAGGTAGGATCTATAACTTTTTTTTGATGAAGAGGTAGGATCTAGAACTTGATACATCTCCATTGACCTGTATTTTGATCCCTTTTAGCATCATCACTACTGCAAAACGAGAAGCTGAGGTACGACAACTTGATGCAATTCCAACTTGCAGCCATGCTTGAAAATAGCTTATATGGGGGGATGACTCCATCCAGCTGGTACATTGAACCAGTCCTATATATGCATTCCTTTCTTGTTTATCCGTAAGCTTTAGTATATCACATCACGTGGCAAGCAAGCAGCCCTTGATAGACCAGGCCGGCCTTAAGGCTGTGGAAATTAAACATTAGCGGCACCAAAACAGCTATTTCCGTCGGCAATATTGTTTTGTCCCCCCTGTGCACGCAGTTGCATTAGCTTGCAGCGGCGGATCCAGAACACAGAAGAGCACTGGGCCGCATTTTATTAGAAAATTAGAATCATAAAAAAATAATGATTATAGTTTTTTTACAATGTAAATTGTACACGACGGTATCTTAATTTAGCAAATGCATCAATAATGTAGTTCACATCCATACCAATAGTATACGTTGTTCAAAATAAAATACTTGAGCAATTGGCAAAAAATTCATCGCTCATTTATTGTGCAAATAAGTTTTACATGTTTCTTTGTTCAAAAGGTTCTCTCTGTAGTAGTTGTTGAAACAAGCAGCGTCAACACTAGACAAATCAATATCAATTTGCATTATGTGTCCATCCCTATACCACCAGTTGTTTAGTAAATTTTCAAGGTAACAAACCTCATATTTCTTTTAGCCTATTATGCTTTAGAATTTTAGGTTTCATTATTTTTTTAGACGAAAAATCTTTGGGGCTAGAATTTCTCTAGGCTAAATTTAGAGTAGTGATATGTTTATCTAAATCAATTTGCTAATTATATCCAATTTTATTATAAAATAGCATTGGGCCAAATACCTAGATCAAAAAAATTCATAAGACCTATAATAACTATGGATCCAGAGGAGGGCTGGGCCGGGGCCCGGGCTGGCCACCCCCTGGATCCGCCACTGTTAGCTTGTCGCTCATGAATCAAATGGATTGGTGGATTATCCATTAATCCAAATGACATTCTCAACCAATGACCAGTATATAAAATATGAAAAGTTTAGGTACTAAATTGTCATGATGAAAAAATTTGCTACTAAAACGTAATTTTCCAATGATAGTTTTCGTATAAAAAAATTAAATTTTAGGTACCAAAATGTAAAATATAAAAGTATAGGTACCAAACCGTAATTTACCATTTGGATCAATGGATCCATGAATCCACCAATCCAATTGGATTTGGATAAAATGGATTGGATTTAAATGGATTGGATTAGGTGGATATTCTTAATGGGTTGGTGGATTGGATTGAGAATTGTCACCTCTAGTTAGCACCATACTAATACTTTCATTAAGTGTATTATAGTATTGGGTTATAGGTATAATATGCCACTCTACTATGTAGTTTTATCAAACATGCCCATTTACTATTTTTTTACATCAAACATGTCCTTGTACTTAGGAAAAATGATCAAACATGCCCTTCTGTTAAAATTTTCATTAAAAAATCGTCACCATGGTTGAACCGAGATGTAGACGACCCGACATCGACGAATGAGAGGGAAATGTTAGTTTTGTCCCCCATTTTATTTTTTAGGACTCGTTACAGTGAAATTATTAGAGGTATTTGGCTCTACAAAAGAATCCAAATAATTCTAAAGTGAAATTACCAGGGATATTTTAGACATTTGTGTGGCCCAAACCAAGGTTCGACCGTGGTTGACGTTTTTGGATGAAAATATTAATAGAAGGACATGTTTGATCATTTTTCCAAAGTACAGGGGTATGTTTGATGTAAAAAATAGTAAAGGGTCATGTTTGATAAAACGACATAGTAGAAAGGCATATTATACCTATAACCCTATAGTATTTTAACCCTTCTCCCTTTCCTTTACCTTCACCTTCCCCTTCCCCTTCCCCTTCCCCTTCCCCTTCCCCTTCCCTTCTCCTTACATTCACGATACTTTTCCATGTTTTATTTACAAATTACAGTTTTGGTACCTAAACTCAATAGGTATTAATATGTAGTACCTAAAATTATTGTTTTACATTTGAGTACTAAAACATCGATGGAAAATTCATTTTGGTACATGAAAATTTTTTTCTTACATTTTGATACCTAAAATTTTCAAACTTACAAACAGGTCCACTACTTGTGGCATGCTTTATAAACTTGTGCCATGCTTTGTGGACTTGTGGCATGCTTTGTGATTGTTGCATGCTTGAGGAGTTTGTGGTATGCTTGAGGAAGTTGTAGCATGCTTTGAGGTTGTGGCATGCTTTGAGAAGGTTGTGGCCTACTTTGGAGGTTGTGGCATGCTTGGAAGAAGTTGTGGTATGGTTCGTGTCCCTCTCTCTTCCTTCTTCCTCTTCTCTAATTTTTCATAATACCAAGCGTGCCCCTTCGTCCCCTTCTACCTCATTAATTTTGGTCAACACATTTAAATAGAAATGTCATCCAAATGAAATGTTCTAATTGGCTAGAGCTAGTGTTAACACCACACTAACTGTAGACACCACATTTTGTCTGGGATAATCAT